GTAGCGCTGCCTTCGAGGACCTGTTACCACAAGGTTTGTCATTCAGCACGGTCACCCTATTGGCTCTTTTCTTCAAGGACTAGTCGCTCTCAGCAGCCTGCCTGTGCCATTGTCATCTGGGCTCAAATCTCTGGTGGGAGGTTGGTTCACCGATCAGATTAGGAGACGTGTTCGTACCATCGTGTCCTCGGGCTCGATCTAGAACCCTCTAGACAGTCGCACTGGGACAAGTAGTTTCGCAGAGGACGGGGTACCACTAAAGAGAATAGAGACTGGAATGGCTATGTGGGGCTTTTTGACCATCTTCAGCCAGCCATACCCAATCCTAGGCTCGGAGGACCCGAGATTCGAACCTAGACTCCTTAATCGTTAATCACAATTAGGTCCCACGATGTCGCTTTCCTGTCGGCCGCAACTGGGAGTATTAACTACGATGGATCGGTGTTCCCAGATCAGATTACCACCCTGGTCAATATTCCCGATAGCAGTCAATAGGACAACGGTTCCGAGACTCAGGGCTGGACGTTTAAGCGTTTATTAGTCTAAAGAATCTTTCCCAGTTAGTGACTATTGATGTGTTGCAGAGTTCCAACCATTCTAACTCGATGGAGACAAGGACGTTTCATTAGTAATTTCAGATACACTACTACGATCTAAATCAGCGTGTTTATGCAAAAAGGCATTGTTTGTGCCGTTCGATCGAGTCGAAAATTCTCACATCTGATTTTTTGGACGGAGCCTCGCAGTTCAGGTGGCTAAAGCCTTGGTTGTACTAAAGCCTTCTCCTTGATGTCGTGGGTTCGAATCCCACCGGGGTGCCGAGTTTTTCACAGTTGGGTCAATATGAATTATTCAGAATCTGCCAAAATATCTGGTTAGTATTCCCAATCGAAACCAACAGGACAAGGAGTCCGTGACTCAATGCTAGAGTTTTGGACTCGCAAACGCTCGTTAACACGAAGGATCCGAGCTAGAATCCACCTCAGTTAGTGGTTTTTATGTGTTGCAGGTATTCAAACAGGCCTATACAAATGCATTATCGCGTAAATTAACCTTATCCGTCCAAGTCGGGGGGGGGGGGAGCAAAGACGTTTCACTAGTAACTTGGC